ATCCATCATAACAGCAAAATGAATAATAACACGAATGAATGATAACCGTTGCTGTTGTTGCATAGCGGCAGCAGAAAAGGATGCGGCTAGCGGAGAAGTGCCTCGACCTGTACCCGTACCTCCAACAGCACCCCTCAACAAGCCAGACGTACTCGCCGATGGCTGTCTCAACAATGACAGTGCTGCAGTAGTTGTTGTTGGGGCATTCACACGCGGTGCGGCCAATGAGGAAACACGTAGTTCAACCTAACAATTAATATTAATCCATAAAATTAAGACAAGCAAATTATTAATAAGTGTACATGATGTACCGATTATTCATAGAGAATCTGCGACGAAGGGAATCAAAAGATGACAATAAATTTTTTGAAAAAAAAAAACTAATCAATTACCTCAGTTGGAAACGGTCTCGATGCATCGCCCAATCGCCAGAAAAGAGGTGCAGCCACCGAATACGACTTACTGATTTGATTTGCGAATCGAATCACGTGTTCACTGTTCACCTTCTTGGCTTCAGCTTGATGCACTGCTTTAATCTTTATTCCAGCCTTAAAATTAATTTATGTATACGTGTTGCTGTTCTAGTATATCAACACAACAGTTTACATCTATACGAATGAACGAAAGGGTTTCGATGTAATTTACAACTTTACGTTGAAATATTTGCTTATACGATTGTTCATCTTCGCGAACAAAACGTATGATTCATTGGTAAAATGACGAAAATGAGGAGAGAGTTATGCAATGAGAGTTCCAGATGAATAGGAAGAAGATTAGAAACAATATGAGCTTACAAATGGATCAATAAGTGATGCAAACAAACCTGATAAATAGCTCCTGTGAGTGCAGTTTCGGCAATGTGCAGTTTGTTTTGAATATTTTCAATAACGTCATCACGTGCCTTAACCGCCCTTTCCAATTTGGCTATTGTTTGCTCTCGTTCACGATGCGCTCGCACTTCAAATTATCACATTTCATTTTCGAGAAGGACAATTTTCATTGTTGTAAATCGGTTCATTCGAAGTAAAAACTAACTGTAAGATAACTGTGGAGAAACGTAACAAGGGTATGCAGACGACGAACTTGAAAAATTTATTAACAATAAGTCATGACTCAGTGAGATGGATTTTTTCATTGCAATTGCTCATTCACAACAGCCTACTTTACAACCCATTGATTTTACGAAATATTGAACTGTTTGAAAGAATCGAAATTTTCCACGACTTGTTCCGCTGAAAAACAGTCCTCAAACTGTAACTGTCGTTTAAAAAAAAATTCATTAGTCATTGAAAATGAGTTCACCTTTTGAAAGAAGTAGTTTCAGTTGTTGCTGCTTACGTCGAAATGCCTCACTCAACGATGCCAACGATTCGCAAGTTCGATCTTGTTCCAAAAGAAATGCAATCATCTGTAGTGACATTCTATTGGTTATACATTCGAAACAATTAAATAAAGCAATATCTCCCTGACTCATTCTGCTCAATCGCATGCTACTCGCTGAAACGAAACCGAACAACCAACCTGCTTTATGATCGCATCTAAATCGTCAACACTCTCCAGT